AGGGAGGTTATATGGAGTAATAGGAGGGGTTATAGGGAGAGGTTATATGGAGTAATAGGAGGGGTTATATGGAGAGGTTATATGGAGTAATAGGAGAGGTTATAGGGAGAGGTTATATGGAGTAATAGGAGGGGTTTGAGGGAGAGGTTATATGGAGTAATAGGAGAGGTTATAGGGAGAGGTTATATGGAGTAATAGGAGGGGTTTGAGGGAGAGGTTATATGGAGTAATAGGAGGGGTTATAGAGAGGTTTATGTAGTAATAGGAGGAGATATAGGGAGAGGTTATGCGGAGTAATAGGAGGAGTTGTAAAAAAAATGTTGTACAGAGTAATAGAAATTGTTATAGAGAGCATCAGGATGTTATTTAAAGCATTATTGTGAGTTATAGAAATAAGTGACGCAGGTAAATAGAGAGATTGCTGGAAGCAACATGGAAAACCTATTATGTAAAGTATATACAGAGAGCTTACCAAGCTCTGCAGTTGGCATACTATTTACTCTAGCAATATTGGACAGCATGCTTTTATTCTGATCAGTCCTAGAGGTGTTCAGTCATAGACTGCCCTAGGCGATTATTAGAGCTTATTAAATAGGAACATTCATGCAAACATAAAGAACCACATGAATCACACATAGAGAGACAATCTGCCCTTTTTATTCTGCATTATTCTCCTCATGGTAATGCATCGACTGCTGATTTTCCATCTTATTCTATCCAGTCTATATTCTGTCTGTGCCATTATTTTATATTCCTTTCCCCAAACTTGCTGCTCACTTATTATCTGCCCTGTTCATCCAGTCTTCATCCCCTACCTTTCCTAACGTTACCCCATATACCCTAATCTGTGTAGGGTTACTACCTTTCTTACCCTTATTTTACCCCATATACCCTAATCTGTCTCATTCTCCCTCCCCTCACAATTCTCTTTTCTTGTACTCTATATAAAAGCATAGATTGTGGTGTCAGACAAGAACCAACAGGCCCATCTACTCTGCCCAATTTTCTAAATACTCTCATTAGTCCCTGACCTTATCTTATAGCTAGTATAGCCTTATGCCTATCCCACGCATGCTTAAACTCCCTCATTTTGGTAACATGTACCACTTCAGCTAGAAGGCTATTCCATGCATCCACTACCCTTTGCTTCGACTTCCCTCTATACTTAGAGGTCAGTTTATAACATTGGTAAATTGAAAAAACGTATGGATTATTGTTGAAGTATTGCACAGTGCCCTAATATTTTGGAAATTACGCTCTGTACAAACGAATGGATCAGGGACTCCTCTGAGAGTGTTTTTGTACTGGAAATCCTTATTTTTTTTGGTACTGCAACACACACAAACATGCACAAGAGCTCTTATTAGGGTTTGGGTGTCTCAGAGCTCCTGTCTCCTGCTCTGTAACCTGATTATTTTGCTCCAGATGCCTTTATGATGCGGCTCATTAGGATCCTAATGTAATCATCCTGCAATGTGCTGACAGTGGGGCATCTGATGTGTCTAGATATGGCGGCATCTGAGTCCACCTCCCATCCGTCCAAGACCCAGCCTGCAGTGCTGTACATGTGCATGTCCTGCATGATTTCAGGGATGCACTTATGAGATATAGTTTGATTAATTCGGGAGATACTCTGCAAGTCTCAAAAGTTATGTTTCTACTTTACATTACTTCTGGCTTGGCAGAGCCTTGTGCATTAATACTATGTGTATATGATTTACAATATATAAATATCTACCTGCACATTTGGTGGTCTTGTAGAAAAATTACTCCATTATGGATATGGGCCCAAAGAGTTATATTTGATCTATGCGGGGTGAAAATGGCTTTAAATATATCTACATTTAAATTGGCCTAAATTGAACAAAACTGACCAATTTTTTTATAGTACAATGTTTGATCTCTTCATACTAAAGCAATAGTCGCTAGGAATTGGAAAAGTGAAAAAGATTTTATTCTAACTCAAATAAATGTTTAATTGTCATACCAACTAAAAATGGAAAGACGACATACCAGATATCCAAACAAAACCTCTGACTTGTTTTGAAAATGGGACAATGCATTAAGAAATCTAACTAGCAATAGATAAAATAAATAAAAATGGGATGACTCTCGATGACTATTTTGATTTATTACATTTTTTAATTTTTTTTGGGGGGGGGGGGTCATGTGTTTTCTGTTATGGATTGTGGTTACGTGTTATTCAAAATCTCTGTGTTATACTTTATTTGTCAGTAACTCTACCAACGATGTGTTTGTATGACTAGGTAACTCGGTTCCTATGGACAGGTGCTGGATTTCCATATTATATGTGACGGTAGTCACCATCACCAAGAGCTTAAGATGAACAATTCAATTAGGTATCTGAATGATTCCTATGTTTAAGTCACCCTCTGTCCATTGTGAGTGCAGGGTGTGTGTGTAATGTGGTTATTTGAGGTTAATATTAGTGTGCTCTCCTGTCTTGGTAATGCTTGCAATCAACTAGGATTTGGTTGTGAAGCCTGTACAGCGCCACCTGTTGGTTGCAAGGATCTAGCAACAGCGATATGCACTACCTGAATAGCAAGGCTTGCTAATTTGCATATTTGGGTAGATTGGCATATTGCTAATTCTGCAGGAAGGAGAGATATTTTCTGTAAATGATTGTCTTCCCTACCCCTTTATAAATATGTCATTGTTTTATAATAAGTTGCTGTATGTAGTCTGCTATGATCTAACTGTTGGATTTTTATTGAGTTGTCACATTAAAAATGAGTTCCAGAGGAGAGTTTTGGAAGGATTGGCTTTCTTTGGAAACAATCCATAAGCAGAGGTGACCACAGAGTTGGACCAGGCAAGCATGGCGTCCTCTGACTCTTACTCAGAATTTATGTTCGAGGTACGGCAGCGACTGGCCTGGTATGGCTCTAATGTTTCGATGGAGACCATCCAGGCAACCTGGGACCAGGTGACTGTCGATTTACAAGCCAAGAGAGACCACGAGTTCCAGATGGACAAGACAGGGGGAGGAAGCGAAAAGAGGTTTGCAGCAGCCATTCGGCAGAGATGGTGCAATTGATCTGGAAGGATGTGCCCACAGATTTAATTGACTTTACATCAGAAGATGTCAGCCTCCCTCCCTAGCGGCATATGGGAAGCAAGCGTGCAAAAGTAGCTAACCTCCCTCCCAGCTGCTAGACCTGTTTGCTGGCTGCAGGATCCCTTTAGCCCTGGGATAAATCAAGAGAGCTAGGCTTGAGAGCTGCAATTGCCTTTGTAACTATAATCACTGTAAGTAGAACTGCAGCGGAATGAGCAGAGGGAATGAGAAAGGCCTGGAAGAAGAGCTGCAGAGGAATATGCAGAGGGGAAGATACCTGCCTGGAATGAGAGAGCTGCTGCCTGGTTGGGTGGAAGAACACCGGAGAGACCCCAGCCAAGCTTTGGTGACTGGGGCTGAAGCGTTCCATCGTCCCTGCAAGTGGCTAGGAAGTGGACTGGGCGGAGGTACTCAGTTGGAGTAAAGGATCTCCGTCACAATATGTTTTAATGTTATGAAAAGGGAAAAAAAACACTATTTAAATATCTGTTAGTAGCTGCAGTCCTGTGTTGAATTAGCAGACAATTGATGGGTAGAGTTAGAGTACAATGTTATATTGAGAACAGTTGCAGGCCCATAATAGTGGCTCTTTTATTACGTCTGGGGAATTTATAGCTGCTTTGTTATTTAATTGTTTATTAAACAATTGTAGCAGCAATGCAATATGTGGAAATCATAAAGGTGTAATAATTAAATCAAGGTTTGTTTTTATCTAAAATCCTTCCAATACAGCTATCTGGGCTTGAAAAGTTACCCACTCAGGTAACGACTTTGTCCTTAGGGACAGATTGGCTTTGTCTAATGTCTGTGCAAGTATTTTAAAGTTCAAGCATCAATGGCAAATAATAGTACAGCATTTACAGATGTCTGAATTCAGAAGAGTAATTAGGCTCAGACCATAGTCGGCAACAAGCAGTCCTCTTTGACTACCAATGATGGCTTTTTACTACTGCATTAGATAAGAATGAGCAGTCTAAACGGCCAAAGGGAACTAAGGTTTAACCCCTTAAGGACCAAACTTCTGGAATAAAAGGGAATCATGACATGTCACACATGTCATGTGTCTTAAGGGGTTAAAGGAGGCCCATGTTAAACAAGGAATAAGAGTTAGGGGGATACTTGCCTTCAAGATGATGAGGGCTGAATTCACTGTTCCATGAAGTGTAAAGTGTTACGGAATAGGTTGGTGCTATATAAAAAACAATAATAATAATAAGAGAATTGTCAAAAGATATGTTTGTATGTCAGCCTCGATGAGATGCTCGCAATCCAACAGCAGTTTGCCAGCCTTGAATTAAAATACAGACTCTTAGTTATACATGAAGACTAGTTTGTTAACCATTATTAATAGCAGTAAATGTGGACACAGGTTCCTGCTGACACAGAAACAAAACAGTCAATTCTATTGATAAATCTTATCACTCACCACTGTATCCATTTAAACTAGTCTCTCGAACACCCCCGGGAATAGGTAAGGCATTTGTGAGAGACCGTAACTGAGAGCATGTGCCCTGTCTCAGTCTCTCCCCCGAGACCTTTGAAGTTATTCACACATTCTGCCCTATATCTGTTTCTGTCCCGTATGTTCTCATTCTTTCAGTCTCATCTCACAGCATTGTCTGAGGCTAAACTCACCATGTGACCACACATCCAAGTAATTTATAGCTATCGTGTTATATTATTTATTGCATTAGCATTCAATATACTAGATAGAAAGCTCTTCTAAACAGGATTCTCAATTCCTTTAGCTTCAGTTGCATTGTCTTAATTACATACTTACTGTACCCCTTTAACAGTTTCGAAAAATATGCTTGATCACTGTAAGTCATAATAGTAATGGTGACAATAATGAACTGTATTAAGATCACTATCTTAAAGGGACTCTTCACTGCTAAATACAAAAACAAATTTAAAAATATCACTGTTTAGTATATATACCCCAAATGAAAACATGCATGTATTTAATTATGCATTTCTTCATTGGGGTATATCTAAAACAGCTTGCAAAACCTGCCAATTTTTTGTCTGCTGCTTTTGCAAGCCCTCCTCTTCTAACCCCACCCACACTTTATGTGGCTGTCCAATCACAGACTTCCCAATGCAGCTAAATGAGAAGTCTTTACAAGGCAGGTGCTTTGGACAATTTACTGCCTCTTGAGTTTAGCTCCACTGAGCTAACCAACTCAGGAAGTAACCAGACCAGTTGTCTAACAGCCAGGGGTGTGTAACAAGTTTAATTTATAGAAGTAGTTAACTGGTTGAAAAATATAACAGTAAATGTGACATGTGCAAATGTTTGGCCATTTGTATTATTATGGGGACTGTGAAAGTAATTCTGGAACCTTAAAGGGTTACTCTAACCACCATGGCCACTTCTGCTTTTTGAAGTGGTCATGGTGGTAGGAGTTCATATGTGCAGGGTTTCAGCATGAAACATTGCACATACTGAGTTATTGGTATTTGTGTGCCGGGGACTAGTTACAGCCTAGCACAGGTGACATTGCCCATTGTCTTGCACCAGCTAGCTCTACCTGCAGGTCCTTTGCAGTAAAATGGGGGGTTTGTTTAGCTTTCTTGACTAGTCTACAAGCAGTGCTATTGGAGATTTTCCTTGCAATTCTGCATCTTGCCTTAAATTCAACTGTTCCTTCAACAGGCATGTCAATAACAGTTGTCACATCTAGTTTCTTAAAACAGGAGACAAACAGATAATGTCACTTGTCAACAGGAGAATCAGGTTTGTCACATTTGATCTTAATGTAAAATAATAGGGAACAAAAAATGTTTAAAAAAAAGAGGTGGCAGGGATTGGAGAGGATAGGTAACAACCAACATAGGGTCTCCCAGAACAAATAACATAAAGTGAATATCCCTATAGTTGTACTACAATGCCAATACTTTGTTGAAGGAACTGTAAGATGATTTGTGTAGGATTGTAAAGGTGCAGACAATATCAAAGTGTGTTGTGAAGCAGAAATCAGCTTTCTGGACAGTGTTATCAATGCATTAGTTGCCATTTATCTTTCTGGGTTTAAAATGTAAATTCTGTAGATTACAGGGGCACTGTGGACACCCAGACCACTTCATTTCATTAAAGTGGTCTTTGCCAGGAACCTACTATTAAACTTTTCAGCAGTAGCTCCACCATGCACACAGTTCCATGATTCCAATGCATTTTTCTATTTTTTTCTAGACTTTTCGCCAATGTAATTCTCTGTTTGCATGGGATATTTGTTACTGAACTTGATTTAATTCTATTGGCCCAAAATAAGGAGTATCAACTTTTTTTTGGCTGTTTTTTAAATTGAATATCAATGTATATGTTGGTCCTCAATATAAAACCGCTGATTAAATTGATTGGCCTTTTTTAATGACTAACCCTGGGGTGCTAGCCATTAATATAATAAACAATGAGGGCCTAGTTTCCCTGGGACACAATTTTAGGGAATGGACAATCCATACCCCATATTGTCATTAATACCCCACTCAAAGCCTGTGGCTGCATTCGGGTGGACAAAGGCATGTCCACCCCTCCTTCAATATTTCATAAATAGGCCCACCCACCACCCATGAGTGGAGACCAGGGGAAATACTAGCCCCCCCTTTATTATATTAATAGCATCCACCATTCATAGGTGGGGGCTAGGGAGATTTATAGGTCTCCCCATTTATTATATTAACAGCCTCCACCAGTTGCTCATGTTTGTAGTCTGGAGCAGACATTCGGATGTCTGCCCACTTTTTTATACCTGCTGTTCCTGTACAAGGGCAAGTGGGTGCTCGGTGACCTGTCCATTTTTTTATGGTATGGCAACTGTTTAGTAGCTGATAGGAAGGCTCTTCAGTGAATAGTAAAGATTGCTCAATATATTATTGGTGTTCAGCTCTCATCAATTCAAGAAATTTACAACAAACCCTGTGCCCAGAGACTAAGAGGGATCATTAAGGACACATTTTATCCTAATCACGGATTATTTCATCTTCTTTGCTCAGGGAAACGTTATAGCATTCTATATTGTTGGACTGTAGGTTTGGGAATAGTTTTGTACCCTTAGCTATAATATTGTAGAATTCTATGTATAGACAATAGTTCTTAAGAATATAATTACATTAAGATTAAGTTATATCAGTTAGATCAGCGGTTCCCAAAGTGTGGGTCGCGACCCACTGGTGGATCGCAGGGCGATTCCCAGTGTGTCACGCTGACCCACACACAGGGCCATCTTTAATTTTGATTGGACCCTGGGCAAGCATTTACTTGGGCCCCCTGACTATATATAGATACACACAAATACACTACCTGACAAACATGCAGATACACACTGACCGCATGTAGATACACACAAGAACATACAGATACACACAGACTACATATAGATACACTGACACACACATAGACATACACACAGATATAAACACTGACATACATGCAGATACAAAAGGTATACCCATTGACTACATATAGATACACACACACACTGACACACACATCCAGACACACAAACGGAAAACATGCAGATACAGAGACACATTCTGACAGACGTACTGACACAGACAGCCATACTGAACCACACAGACACTGACATACAGATACACTGACAGACATACTGGCACATATACACACAGACAGACGGACATACTGAAACACACATACACACAGACATTGACAGACATATTGACAAACACAGACATACAGAACCACATGGACACTGACAGACTCACACAGACATACTGACAGACATACAGACATTCTGGCACACATACACACAGACAGACATACTGAAACACACATACACACAGACACTGACAGACATACACACGTACAGACATTTTGACACGCACAGACAGCCATACTGAAACACACATACACAAATACATACTGAACCACACAGACACTGACAGACACACACACAGATTTTCTGGCACACTGACAGACATACTGGCACACATACACACAGACAGACAGACATACTGAAACA